CCACTTGGGCTTGCTGATCGAAAGGTTGGTGGTTCGAATCCCTGCGACGGGGTGAGCTCCCGTTGTTCGGTCCCAGCTCCTGCCAACTTAGCAGTTCGAAAGAGTGCAAGTAGATAAATAGGTACCGCTCCAGCAGGAAGGTAAACAGCGTTTCCATGCGCTGCTCTGGTTTTGCCAGAAGTGGCTTAGTCATGCTGGCCACATGACCTGGAAAAAATGTCTGCGGAAGCGGACAAACGCCAGCTCTCTCGGCCTGTAAAGCGAGATGAGCGCCACAACCCCAGAATCGTCCGCGACTGGACTTAATTGTCAGGGGTCCCTTTACCTTTACTGATGGAGGCATTCACCAGGGTTAGGCTGATACCTTATTTTTATGCTTTATGCTTTAGTCTGAAGGATTTCGTGCTGAGTGACAAAGGTTGGGCTGAAATATCTGTGTTTCTTACAAATATTCTCCCCCCCCACACCGCTGCGAAAATGGAGTTGATCTTTTGCTGCTTAACCTTGCGTGCATGGGAGGGGATTTCTCCAAAAGGTTTGGGAGGGGGTTTCCACGCATCTTACTGGGTCTCAGCAGGAAGTGTGGCTTATGGGATACCGTGGAGAGAGCCACATACTGCTTCCTGCCGGCCCCACTACCCGGAATGCCTTGGGAGCGATGCGATGCTTAATGATATGGTGTCACTCGCAAGGAATTTGAGGAATCATAGCCAGCAGGAAACTTTGGAGAGAGCCTTGTGCTGTTGCGAATGGTGTGGGGATTTTTAAGTTGAAAAAGCAAGGGGGGAGAGGAAGGAAGAACCGTTAGCCACCTTATATGGTTAAGTATGAACCCCAAAACTTTGGATATTTTCTCCTTCTCCTGTATGTTTTTTGGGGGGCATGTTGTGTTTCCCACCCAACCAACAACTAGCCAAAATGTAAAATTCCCCCCAAATGCTGGCAATTCTCTACTTCAGGCACAAGGAAAAGACAGTTGGTATCTCTTCCCTTTCCACCTGCTTTGAGCTAACACCTTTCGAATGCTGCTCTTTAGGCATTGCAAGTGCCTTGAAGGGATGAACAGATGTCTCATTCCGTGTATTTGGAAAAGTTGTAGTTCATTTACTTTCCAGTGAACGCAAGGCAGCTAGAAAGTCCCAACACAAAACAATATTTCAAAATATAAAATCATCATCAAGTTAAAACCCCAGAATAAACGGCAAGGAAACCACAGTCATATTGTTGTGTTAGTTCCTTAAATCTTCCACTTCATGTGAAATTTATTTTTGTTGATGTCTTGTGCATCGTTATGTTTATTAGCAAAGAGCCGTTTCCAAACACTCGCAAATGCCACAACAGCATTTGTGAGCTACATTATGAAGACACAATTAAAAAAACAAACAAAAAACAGGATAATTGCTGTCAAACTGTTGTGGAAACTTACATCTACACAAAATGTACTGAGATGCTTCAAAGTGTGGGTTATTGTTGTCAGTTTACTGAGATATAGATTTATTTATTCAGATTATTTCCTGTTTGTTTATTACGGAGGGGTGTTGGTTTCAAATTTATTTTTGGGTGGGAGGTATCAACATTCTTATGGCCTGTCAAATCTGTTGGCAGAGAGTTTTGTGTTGTAGTGTTTGGTCAGTTGCTTAGGGACCGGCCTAAACACCATCTTGGTTGTGTTAACTACAATTTTGTGGTTTTCCAGTTTAGGAAGACATGGCCTTGTTCAGTAACATGCAAGCATGGCTTAGGGGAAAAAAATCCTTTCCATATGCCATCAATTCAATGTGCTTTCAAAGTAGTTTTGAAAATTCCAGAGCTAAGTTTGATATTTTTTGTGCTGAAACTATATAATAAGTGTGATACTTCTGACTCGTAGTTGTACCATGTTTCATGATATATTGTAATCATGTATGGAAAGAAAGGTCTTTAGTAAATTCACTGGTAACTTCAGCCTAACTTTTCATTTTATGCTGTAGGGTCTCAGAAATGTTTATCTGTAATTTAGATGTTTCTCCACAACTTCTTATGATACAGTATATGTGTCATCTATTTCATTAGTGCTTTCCAACTTTTTTTTATTAAAAAAAAACCACCCCACAAGCAGAAAATTAGAAAAGGATATGTCTAGAATATTTCTCCCTGGTGTGCTAGCTTTCTACTTTGAGGGAGATTTTTGTGGTATTTCCCACCTGCAATCTGAAATGATAGTCAATCCTACCACCCCTTTCTGTTGCATTAAGAGTGGTGCCACAGGGACAATGTTACCGCAACATTGACTCCTGCTGCCCCTTTAATTCAGGGCTTGAGGTGTTTGGAAGAGACGCCAGTGATGTTTTTAAAAGAAAAGGCAGGTAACCCTAGTATATGAGATTAGGGTTTGATAGAACCTCAAGGAAGACAAACCAGGCATGGCAAATGTCATTAGTGGTTCTGGTCTTTCACCATATTTTGCAAAATGTTTACTCATGTGGCATGCTTTTTTCTATTGCCAAATCTTCACCTCAGGACCCCTTATAATATGGTGCTTGGCACTTGGATATGTGAGCTGTATAGTTTGGTATGGTATGTGGTGCAATAATGTTGGACTAGGAGTGGAGAGACCTAAATTGAAATCTCGGCTAACTCCTGAAACTTACTGGGTGACCTTGGTCTAACTATTATCCCTTGGCTTAACCTAACCTACCTCCTAGGGTTGTTGTGAGGCTAAATACAGTGGTGCCCCGCAAGACGAATGCCTCGCAAGACGAAAAACTCGCTAGACGAAAGGGTTTTCCGTTTTTTGAGTCGTTCCGCAAGACGAATTTCCCTATGGGCTTGCTTCGCAAGACGAAATGTCTTGCGAGTTCTTGCGAGTTTGTTTCCTTTTTCTTAAAGCCGCTAAGCCGTTAATAGCCGCTAAGCCGCTAATAGCCGTGCTTCGCAAGACGAAAAAACCGCAAGACGAAGAGACTCGCGGAACGGATTAATTTCGTCTTGCGAGGCACCACTGTATGTAGAAGGAGTGAACCATGCTGCAATATACCATATATGCAAATACTGAGTCTGAATAGTGAATTTGAATCCAAGTCTACTCAGAGCAGATCCACTGAAATTACTGAACCTTTGCTAATAGTCAGGACCAGTGCTTTTTTTCCTGGGGGGACGCAGGGGTATGCATACCCCTAAACATTTTGTGAATCTAAGTTTGGCCTCCTTGAGGGGCAGTATTTCAACATGAGTAGGAAAATGAGAGTACCCCTAAACATTTTTTTAGAAGAAGAAGAAAAGCACTGGTCATTACGATTAACTTCAGTGAGTCTACTCTGAGTAGGATTAGGGCCTTCTGGCAGTTCCCTCACTGCGAGAAGTGAGGTTACAGGGAACCAGGCAGAGGGCCTTCTCAGTAGTGGCGCCCACCATGTGGAACACCCTCCCACCAGATGTCGAGGAAATAAATGACTATCTGACGTTTAGAAGACATCTGAAGGCAGTTCCACTTAGGGAAGTTTTTTATGTTTGATGTTTTATCGTGTTTTTAATATTCTGTTGGGTGGCTGGGGAGACCCAGCCAGATGGGTGGGGTATAAATAATAAACAATAAACAATAAACAATAAATAATAAATTATTACTATTATTGGTGACATCCCAAAAGCATTCAGTGTTTGAATCCTTTTCCTTATGCAGCCCAAACAAGGGGGGAATTATCAGCAGACTTAGGTGGATTGAACTGGGCAGCCTAAGAAGGACTGAGTTGGGCTGTTTTCTGAAACACTGAATCGTATGAACCAAATCTTGTCAGGGCACAAATACTAAATACAAGCCATCCATTTTTAAATATTTAGAATCACAGAAGCAGCTCTTTTCCTTACTATAGTCATTACCACCCCAGCCCCCTATTTCTGTTGTAAATATATAAGAAAAAACCTGGTCAAAACAGGCACTTAGTGGTTCCTTATCTGAATTAATTTCCCTGGGAAACTGAATGTCTGAACCCAGAAATCCACTTACTTAACAGTAAATAGACCAATACTTGTATACTTCCTTTTAACTACAGTGGTGCCCCGCAAGACGAAATTAATTCGTTCCGCAATTTTTGTCGTCTAGCGAATTTTTCGTCTTGCGAAGCACGAAATCCCATAGGAATGCATTGAAAATCAATTAATGCGTTCCTATGGTCAAAAAAAGTCCAAACAAAGCCAAATTTGGTACAACAACAGTTTATTAACTGCTCTTTAAAGTCACACATACTGTAAAGAGCAGTTCAAAAATTGAAGGGAAAATAAATTAACTTTATAAACAAAACATGTCTTTGTTTTTAGACAAAGAAAACAAAGTCGCGAGACGTTTTCGTCTTGCGAAGCAAGCCCATAGGGGAAATTCGTCTTGCGAGGCAAATCGAAAACGGAAAAAACCTTTCGTCTAGCGAGTTTTTTGTCTTGCGAGGCATTCGTCTTGCGAGGTACCACTGTAGCAGAAATCGTCCAAACCCCAACAATACCATTGTTTTCTTTGTCAGAGTTAATGCAAGTCCTACTGATCCATGTTTTAACTGTAGTTTTTTGTTTAAAAAAACTGTTTCCCACAAACCTCCATCCAAACAGAGAATTCTTGACCTTATGGGATCTTTGCCAGCTATTTCTTAGAAGGTCATGGTGTAGCCTGAGGTATCTGAGGCTGCTTCTAAGCAAAATAAGTGATTGTGGGGAATGGTGTTTTGCTTTTCAGGGATTTGGCTGGGCAAAAGGAAGTAGTGTTTGTGTGTATGTGTATGTGTGGAACGTGTGTGTGTGTGTGTAACTTGTAGTACTGTTTGTACATATTTTCTCACAGTTGGGGAAATGTTCTTGCAGAGCTGCCCAAAAGGGACAGCATTTCACAAAGAGGATGTTTGGCATGTTGTCACTCAAAAATAAATAAATAAATCTGTAAATGACCTTGTTTCTCATGTCAGATCCCACAATTGCAAAGCTGTTGATTCCCTGTAAAATGCAATTCGCTTTTTTTCTTTTTTCTTTTCCCCTTTCAGAAATTGGTCCTGTAACAATTACCACGGATCCCAAGAAATTTCAATATGAACTCAGGGAGCTATACGTTCAGGTGAGTGTCCGTCTCCTTGCCACAATTGCTTTGGGTGGAAAAGAAAGCTAAGCCCACTCAGAATCATAGAATTGTAGAAATGGAAGGGTTCAACTCTGGTTCAGTTCCCCTGCAACTCTATCCTAGCCCCAAAACAATAACTGGGGGTTTAATTACAGATTGGTCACAATACCGTCAGGTAAATGATGTGTTTAAGGAGGATAAAAGGAATATGGGCTTTGAAACGAGAAGATCCAAGCTGGAGATAGAGTTGCTGGATGATAAGAGGAAAATATTATCGAAAATGTATAAATTACTATTAGAATGGCATACTAAAGATGAAGAAGTTAAAGTGGTTATGTTACAATGGGCTAAAGATTTTGGTTATAATATTCAATTAAAAACATGGGAAAGGTTATGGAATGAGGGAATTAAATTCACTGCCAGTAGTGCATTAAAAGAAAATGTGATGAAAATGATGCATAGATGGTATCTGACACCAACTAAGCTTGCTAAAATGTGTAAGACAAAGAATAAGGGATGTTGGAAATGCAAAGAAAAGGGGGGGGGATTTCTATCATATGTGGTGGACATGCAGTGAGGTAAAAGCTTTCTGGGAAATGATATATAATGAATTTAAGAAAATGTATAAAAATACATTTGTTAAAAAACCAGAAGCATTCCTATTGGGTATCGTAGGTGAGGAAATTCCAAAGAAAGACCAAAATTTTTTATGGTATGCAACAATGGCAGCAAGGACTCTTTCAGCCCAAGCAAAGCTTGGGTATTAATTCAATGTATCTGGAAAAGTGAATTTCCACATAGCGAGCATTAGGAAAGTGGGATGTTGCATGTAATTTAATTATTGCTATTGACATTCCATTTAGCCACACTGATAAATTATAAAATGAAGCTTAAGGCGTTTTCAGTTTGTTGCTGTTTTCGGTTGGGATTCAATCACATATCAGCAAATTCAGGTTGTACAATTACAGTAGATTTTGTGCTCATACATTACACACACACACACACACACACACACACACCGACTTTTTGCAGGAAGGGAAGTGATGGGGAAATGCACTGGAAGATGTGGGATAGCAATTACTTGAATAAATGAATGTTCAACAAACAACTGCTGTTGTCAAACTTCCTCACAAACTTTGTGCAAACAAATCACTAGAGATGAACAAGTTGTCTGCAGGCAACCTTTGAGAAGTCATGCAGATCTTTTGCTTGAAGAGCCATTTTTATGGCCTCCCTTCCTCAGAGGTATGGGAAGTTGAGGTGGAAGAGAACAAAAGAAAAACAAAACATAGCTTAAAATAAAAGCGCAACAGCAGAACTTTCATGGCGACGAGACAGATTTCTCCCACAGGAAAGAGGGGGTGGGGTGAACATGCTTTTCATTAGCTAAAGAGAAGAAGAATTAATGCCATAATTTAATATTGTAAGAACACTGAAGCAGTGGAACAAATTTCCAAAGGCGGCTTTTGAATGATCTTTGCTGCAGAAGTCAAAGTGACTGAATTTGACAGACCTGTTGAATAGGGTCGTTTAGGGATAACACGCACTAAGAAAACATGTACTCTGTGTGTCAGGGTGGGGGGGAGAAATGGCAGAAATCTAGCGTTCCAAAAACCCTGTTTGAGAAAGAGAAGAATATGCACAAGCCAGTTTGGGATTCCAGATGAACGTGCAATGAATGGGCACACCTGCCCTACAGATGTAAGTCAGTTTGGAGTTCAGATTAGGGCATTCTCCTCTGCAGCCCCTTAAAAGCTGCTCTAGGGACATTGGGGGCAGGGACTTTCATGAGCGGAGGGGGCTGTGTTGCAAGGGACCTCAGTAGAAATTGGGCGGTGACCTTGTTAAAGCAGATCTCCACCGCCACAAAGTTCCTTCACCTGGTTTCAAACAATTCCCCATCCTACTGCTGCCCTCATAGCAGGGGCGGAGGAAGGGGGCGGGGGGCGGCCTGCCCTGAGTGTCAACAGTGAGGGGGGTGAAATTTGCCATGTCGTCCTCCCAACCTAGTACTCTGAAAACACACTAGTACTCTGAAAGCACACCAGTGCAAGTAGATAAATAGGTACCACTGCGGCGGGAAGGTAAACGGTGTTTCCGTGCGCTGCTCTGGTTTCGCCAGAAGCGGCTTAGTCATGCTTACCACATGACCCGGAAAAACTGTCTGTGGACAAACGCCGGCTCCCTCGGCCTGTAAAGCGAGATGAGCATGCAACCCCAGAGTCGTTCGCGGCTGGACTTAACTGTCAGGGGTCCTTTACCTTTATCTTTTTAATTGTGTGCAAGGTGCAGTTTTGCTATACTAAATAGGTGAATGTGAATAAGTTTATAACTGTTAGTCTTAAGTTCTTTTGTCTGTACTTTTTATATACCCTTTTTCGGGGTAACTAGAAAGAGGACACAGCAAAAGGAGGCTTCTCAGAAATAAAACATGATATTGTATACAACAGCCAAATTCATGGCAGCACAGTGACTTTTCCAAGGCAATGTTTACATACAGCAACAGGAGACGGATGGACAACAACGCTATTCTGATTTGTCCCCAAAGACAAACAAATACTGCCAGTTCATATGAATTACAGGTTTTGTTTTCCTTTTAAAATGCTCTTTCTTCATTTTCTTTCCATTTGATCTTTTTTTCCTGCTTGGTCAGAAGCTTCATTTTTAAAGAGACTAATTAGCAGATCAGTGCTCTCAGAACAAGTATTTTATGTTTAGCTAACAACTAGTTTTCATATAGTGTTCAAATTTATTTTTGCTTTTCCAACTCCTCTTCAAGGCAGCTTTAAATAATATTTAAACGACGTAAAACAAAAGAACCAACAGAAAACAAAACACAGTGGCAACTGCAGTGACATCATAAATTAAAAGTGCTTTTGTAATATAACTGGCCAAAGAGTTGAGAAAACAGAATGGCATTTACCTGGTCCCTAAATCATAAAGAAGTAGACACCTGGGGAATATACTTAGTTTTTTTTTTAATATAATTTTTTCTTAAATTTTCTGTTTTTACAATTTAGAATATTCATTTCAACAACCTTAAAATATCAACGACTTCTCTTCTTCTCCTTCCATGGTTCATTTTGCATAAGATAAATCCCTGAATATTTTACATGAACTAAACCATGCAGTATTCCATTATTACATCCACCAAAACTTATTTACACTGTTGAACTTATCTTAATGCTGCCAATGTTTCCAAGTGTACACAATTTCCTGCCTATATATTCAATAAACATTTTCCAATCTTCTCTGAATGTATGTTCTTCTTGTTCTCTTATTCTATACGTTAGGTCCACAAACTGTGCATATTCCATCAGCTTAAGTTGCCATTCCTTAGTTAGGACCTCGCTCGTTTTCCATTTTGGGGCTACTGAAATACGGGCTACAGTCGTTGCATACATAAATAACCTTCTTTGACACCTGGGAATTGCCATCTGAATTATCTCCAACAAAAAGGACTCTGGTTTCTTTTATTACATTCATCAAGATTTGCTTACACCGTTGAATGGCTACTTAAGGAGATACTTCACAAAAGCAGTAACATTTTTCAAGGTTGACCCCCTATAACTACAAATGGGGAGGTTAAATGAATTCAGAATTTTTGTGACTTTTTAAACTTTAGCACTGTTTTTGTTTTTTAAAGTTACATTATTTCCCTGTTTCCTGATTATAAACAGGGGGGCGGCGACTGTCCAGAGATGAGCATTGGCGCAATCAAGATTGCTCTAGAAATTTCTCTCCCGGGTTCATTCATCTATGTTTTCACTGATGCGCGATCCAAAGACTACAAGCTGACCCATGAGGTCTTGCAACTGATTCAGCAAAAGCAGTCACAGGTAGGAAACAAATTCCAATTATTATTTCAAAACCGCCATTTTTAATTATTGTTGTTATTATTGTAAGTCTCTTTTTTAAAAAAATAATGAAATGTGTTCCTATTGATTACGGTCAAATACCATCTTGGATAAAATATGTAAATGACAGTTTGATCCCATGCGGGAGTCAGTTTTATTAGATTCAGCGGGACTTACTTTTAGGTATGGGATGCGGGTGGCGCTGTGGTCTAAACCGCTGAGCTTCTTGGGCTTGCCGATCAGAAGGTCGGCGGTTCGAATCCCCGCGACAGGGTGAGCTCCCGTTGCGCTGTCCCAACTCCTGCCAACCTAGCAGTTCAAAAGCACACCAGTGCAAGTAGATAAATAGATACCACTGCGGCGGGAAGGTAAGCGGCTTTTCTGTGCGTTCTGGTTTCCATCATGGTGTTCTGTTGCACCAGAAACGGTTTAGTCATGCTGGCCACATGACCTGGAAAGCTGTCTGTGGACAAGCGCTGGCTCCCTTGGCCTGAAAGCAAGATGAGTGTCACAACCCCATAGACACCTTTGACTGGACTTAACCGTCCAGGGGTCCTTTACCTTTACCTTTTACTTTTAGGTACTGTAATTGTGTTTAGGATTGAATTATACAAGTTGGAAGCGACCAGTTTCAACAAATAATAAGCAGGTCCATACAATATTGGGATGGGGAGAAGAAACTATCTCATCACAGGTCATACACAGTTTTATTAATGTGTATGATATTCTAGACAGGTATTAGCAAAATATCAGCTTTCCCCACTGTCAGGTGCTGATGTGGTTGCTCGGGAGCAAACAGGCAAGACTCTAACCTGTCTTTTCCAGGCTTTATTATATGTACAAACTATTTACAGTGCAGAGCGTCGCAAGTCCATTTCTGCTCAGTCGCTAGCAGAATCTGGGAGTGGGCGGTCCTTATACCTTCCCCAGCATAACAGCCGTGTGACCCCCAATCTTCTCCTCCCCTCTCTGCGCCAAAGACTACTGCACAGAACAGGCGCTGCCAAAGGGGGACTCGCCTCCCCTCCGCTTTGCTCAGGCTCAGTGTTGAGGCTCCCCCTAGCATCTTCTGATCCTTGCACCCCCTCCCACTGGAGGTGTGGCTTCCCTCCTCGCCAGAGGAAGAACTACTTCGCAAGATCTTTGGAGGCTCCCTATAACACAACTGCCCTTCCACCTCTCGCCTCTGAGCAGTTCTCGTTCCCTCCGTTTCCGATGTTCAGGTGTGAATGCCAATGGGTTATGTAGCCTACAGGGCATGTTCTCAACTCCTGGTGCCTTGAAACAGAACCTTATTTGAAATCCTTGAGAGCCACTGTCAATCACTGTCAATCAGCATAGACAATGCTGAACTAAATGAGCCCCTGGTCTGATTCAGATCAATGCAGGTTCCTATGTTCCTATGAGGGTCAACAGGTGCAACAGAGCGCAGAAGCTTGCAGAAGGGCAGACGATCTGGTGGCAAAACCCCCCAAACTCTAAAGGGACAGGGAGGGGACATCTGAAACAAACCTGAGGAAGACTGATCAGAAAACCACTGATAACCGGCAGTGCCGGATTTACGTATGAGCTAAACAAAACAAACCCTGGATGTACATTTCCAAAATATAAGATAAAAAACAAATAAAATAAAACCTGCATACAGCAACGGTGTTTTGTGTTGTGTAGGCTCCTGTGATGTAAGTAACAGGCCCCGTCTGCTAGCCTGCTCCCTAAAATATCACTGGTTTCCTCTTTTCTATATATAGGGTGCCTACATTCTGCATGGACTGGTTGCATGGCAACATATGCAAATGGTTTTAGATACCTATTAAAGGTAAAGGGACCCCTGACCATTAGGACCAGTCTGGGGTTGCGGCGCTCATCTTGCTTTATTGGCTGAGGGAGCCGGCATACAGCTTCCGGGTCATGTGGCCAGCATGACTAAGCCGCTTCTGGCGAACCTGAGCAGTGCACGGAAACACCGGTTTACCTTCCCGCTGGAGCGGTACCTATTTATCTACTTGCACTTTGATGGGCTTTCAAACTGCTAGGTTGGCATGAGCTGGGACCGAGGAACGGGAGCTCACCCTGTCACGGGGATTCGAACTGCTGACCTTCTGATTGGCAAGCCCTAGGCTCTGAGGTTTAACCCACAGCGCCTAATAGATACCTTTTAGGTCCATAAATTACCATATAGCATATATTCAACAGCGACAATTTGTTGACAAAGGACATATAAAGGGCCCCATCACGTTCAGCAGCTTAGGGCCTCATCAGACTTAAATCTGGTTCTGATAACCGGGTTGGGTGGGGAATGTAATGGAGTATCCTGCAGGAGGCACAGCTGACTGGAATACTAAACAGGAAAGCTCCGCAAGGTAAAATTTTACTGCAGGTCCCAGTTGCCCCAAAGGGCTAAAGTTCTTGCCTGGTCCCCATCAGCTTGTCCCACCAGCTGTTCCGGTTATTGAGCAGGGACAAAACTACCACCGGAAGGTCTGCAGAACTGAAGTCTGCAGCCGGGTAGGAGAGAAAAATGCAAATAAATAACAGCTTCCAAGTTTTTACCTCTCCATTTAAATGGAATCTGGCACGTTCAGCAGCTATTTTTGCTTTTTTTTTTTTTTTAAAAAAGTTATGCTCCGACTAATAAAAACTTGTAATTACCCGAGGCACTAATGAATGTTATGAAATAATGTGGCCTATCATTCCTGCTTGCCAATATGGTATTGTTCTTCTGAAAGTTATTACGCTAATTACTTGAGCCTGAAAATATTAAATAAAGCGTATCCCTTTAATGACATAATGTATATTTCCTTCACTAGTTGATTTCTGATGCTTTCCTTTTTCCATTCTTTTGTGTACGAGGGCTGTTTAAATATCCTTGTTTCTCTCCCCCCCCCCCCAAACCATATAGGTTGTGTTTGTTCTAACCGGAGACTGTGATGATAGAGGACATATTGGTTACAAGGTCTATGAAGAAATTGCATCAACAAGTTCTGGCCAGGTTTTTCACTTGGACAAAAAGCAAGTTAATGAGGTAGGAATGAGTGGAGTTTAATTTTCATGGCAGTCCTATATGGGTATTGAGGGGATGTGAACTTTTATCTAGTGGCCTCAGTTTTGAACTGCTAAATGTTTCATCGATGAAGCTGACCCTAAAGATGAAAATTGTGGGAGAAGAAACTCAATATTTCTATTCATGTATTCATTACATTTGTATCCTGTCCTTCCTTCAGTGAGTTCGGGATAACATAGATGGAGCTATTCCATTTTATCTTTACAACAACACTCTGAGGTAAGTTAGATGCAGAGATTTGCTCAAGGCCGTCCAGTCAATTTCATTAGTGAGCAGAGATTTGAACTCAGGTCTTCTTCGCTCAGCTCCCAACACTCTATATTTACAGGCTCACTGCGGAAATCTGGATAGATTTTTAGATGTTGCTTCCTTCCAGCCACGGGCAAGCATGGCATCTGAACTAGCATCCCGGGTAACAAACGGTTGTTTAAGAAGTGTCCCTTTATTTAATTTCTGTTCAAAGAGAGTTTGTTAGCTCTGCGAAGCCCAATGGAACAGAGACGTACTGTTCTTCAAAAATACTGATCTTGCACAATGCCCAGCTGTAAAGTATTGCTTGAGGTCAAAGTAAATGCAGCAAAGAGCTGCATGAATAAATCTCCAGTAACTTTAGTAGAAACCTCTGGTGGTGTGGGTGACTGGAGCTGTAGCATGGACAGAGAAGGGGTTTAATCCTCTCAGTCGTACCTTGGATCTCAAATGCCTTGGCTCCCGAACAAACCAGCTCCTGAACAATCGAAACCTGGAAGTGAGTGTTCCAGTTTTCAAACGACTTTTGGAAGCTGAAAGTCTGGCGCGGCTTCCGATTGGCTGCAGGACGCTCCTGCAGCCAATCAGAAGCTGTGCCTTGGTTTTCGAACGGTCCCGGGAGTCGAATGGACTCCCAGAATGCATTCTGTTCGAGAACCAAGGTACGACTGTACTTTGATTCTTAACTTCATTATACACTGAAAATACTATTTATTTACTTATTGAATTTATATACCGCCCTATACCTGGAGGCCTCAAGGCAGTTCACAGAAAAGATCAACATGAAAGCTGCAATATATATAATCAAACAACAACCCAATAACCACCCCCAAAAAGCCACATTTTAAAAGGGCATAGGATGTAAATTAGATCAACCAAAGGCCTGGTGAAAAAGGAACATTTTTGCCTGGTGCCTAAAGGTATATAATGAAGACGCCAGGCGAACTTTCTTGGGGAGAGCATTCCACAGACGGGGAGCCACTGCAGAGAAGACCCCGTTCTTGTGTTGCCACCCACCGGACCTCTTGAGAAGGAGGCACACGAAGGAGGGCCTCAGAAGATGATCTCAGGGTCTGGGTAGCTTCATATGGAGAGAAGCAGTTCCTGATGGTTGTTCAGTTCAGAAAAGTCTACATGCAGAGATGCAGTCGTCAGCCTCCAATGTGGAAGGGATGTTTCTGGTGCACATTTAGCTAACCAGCTTGTTGTGGCATTCTAGCAGTTCTTTCCTGGCACAGCAACATGCCTGAAACACCGTTTGGGGATTTCTGAATTAGCTCTGCTGATTTGCTTACTCTGAGCAATTGCATTCACAATTGGGCACCATTCCACCACTTGGGCGGAAGACACAGTTTCATTTTGGGTTTCCTGTATTAAAGCCATTCCTAAGAAAAGCATGACAAAGGTGTTATGAAGGGACTGTAAACTTGGAACATTTTGGGGGACTTTCAGGTTCCACGTTGTCGCTGTGGACAATAGCTATTTCGCAAGCTCTCATGACTGAATTTGCTGAATCAAAAAAGTCACATGTTGTTAATTTTGGTAATCTAAATCATCTGCCCTAGTCATAAACATTCTCTTGGACTTCCCAATATACACAGTATTCCATCAGCTGCCTTGCGGTATGACTCAGAAAAAAATATGAATATCGTGGGTTTTTAAAAATGGAATTTTGGTTTATGCAGTCAGAGTTTGACTGCTTTATTGTCCCACGCATGTGAACTTTTCGGACATCTTGATCATGAGCTTTTGGATTGCTATTTGTTTTTCTAGTTGTAGATCTGGATATGTTGTACTTGGAAGCATCGTGCCTGCTACAGCAAGTTTTTGTTTAATAAATTAAAACAGGGAATTTACATGACTTGGCCTTCAAGAGGAAGCGTATCTCTATGTGGTAGGTAGGGACTTATAGAGCTTTCTTATTCTGCAGAACATTGACTTTAATATACTTCTAAAAATAGATTCTAATAAATGTTTTTCTCACACAGTGAAGCGATTACCTCCCTCTCGTTAATCAAGTCACAATTGTGTTCAAACGCACTGGGTGCTTTGAGGGGTTCGGCAAATCATGGACCTGGAGGTCTAGTGCCAGCTAACCACAAAAACCAAATTGTAGGTGTTATGTACTGAAGTTCTCACGCTGGGCCAGCAGGGGGATACTGTAGATAGTTTTCACTCAGGTCCGCATGTGCAAATAAGGAATTGAAAGTGACGTTCAGTGATTGGATAGTTACAGAAAGTTGTTACTGTTGCGTTGTAGCTGAGCTCTATATAAGCAGGTTGGCTGAACCCTTCAGTTCAGTTCTGTTCTGGCCTGTGAATAAACAAGAGCTGTTTGAAGAATCGCTGTGTCGTCTGATACGTTCACCCACAACTTAACAGTAACCTCATGATGTCCCAGCGTAAAATGGTCAACGCAACCCATCTTTATATGACATTACCGCAGCAAGAGGGAAAACTGTCTCAATGAGCAGATGAATTCACTCTGTATACAATAGATGGAATTCACGATGCTATTTAGGAGTGATTTTAGGATTCTCAGAGGGCATGCCCATTCTACACACTTCAACTGATTTAATAGTCATTTCCTCTTCCCAAGGCACCCTGGGATTGGTAGTTTGGCATGATGGGGGTTGGTGACACTAGCTGCCATCTGTAGCATGCATTGACATGTGCTTAGGAGTTTGAATAACTTATTTACAATTACACAGCACATTTCTCCGGTGTCGGATAGCTTTGGGAACAGCACAGAGAGCAAGTCAAGCCCACACATCATTGCTAGCTCAGTTGGTTGGAGCGTTGTGCTGATAACGCTAAAGTTGTAGGTTCAATCACCACATGGGATATCTGCATATTCCTGCATTCCAGGGGGTTGGACTAGATGATCCTCAGGGTCCCTTCCAACTCTATAGTTCTGTAAGTCTATGATTCTGTGTGTCTCTTCCCATCCCAGTTCCAAATGAGACTGGCCCCATGTCTATTGTTCTCTTACAACATCATCTCTAGCTGGGGAGGAGGGGAGGCCTGTATTTGTTAGCACACCTTCTGGAAGCATTTCCAGCTAAAAGTTTCCATGACAAAAAAAATCACCTGTACTCTTTAGTCATGCACAGAGGCAGAGGGCCTTCTCGGTAGTGGCGCCCGCCCTGTGGAAAACCCTCCCATCGGATGTCAAGGAAATAAACAACTACCTGACTACTAGAAGACACCTGAAGGCAGCCCTGTTTAGGGAAGCTTTTAATGTTTGATGTTTTATCGTGTTTTTAATATTCTGTTGGGAGCCGCCCAGAGTGGCTGGGGAGACTCAGCCAGATGGGCAGAATATAAATAATAAAATTATTATTATTATTATTATTATTATTATTTGACAAACTTGGCTAGAGCCATTAACCAGGAGTTGTCAGTGAGGAGAGACAGCGCTGTGTACTTGACCTTCTGGTAGCGGAGTTTGGATTTTTCAAGCAGCTTTAAACTCGGAAGTATTCTTGAATAGGTTTTTATTCAGTCTGATTCTGTTCAGAATTGGAATGCAAAATTAACAATGGCGCATCCTTTGTTATGTCATATCCGACACTATGTCATATATAATGTTGGCAGCATAGCTGCTGTTCAACCTTCAATTCCTGGCAAAGTATTAGGATTGTATATAATGTTGCATGATTACTTAGGTCCACTAGTTTTAATGGTTTCACTCTGAGTAGAACTTAGTTAGATGCAGCCCTTAGGAACAACTACAGTGGTACCTTGGTTCTCGAACGGCTTAGTTGTCAAACAAATTGGCTCCCAAGTAAGTGCTCTGGTTTTCGAATGTTTTTTGGAAGCCGAATGTCCGACACAGCTTCCGTTTGAGTGCAGGAAGGTCTGGAAGCCAACCGGAAGCCACACCTTGGTTTTTGAACGGTTTTGGGAGTCAAACAGACTCCCAGAATGGATTAAGTTTGAGAACCAAGGCACCACTGTAATATGTAAGTTAGCTGTGTTTTCTATTAATCATTTTCCAATTCTGGTTGGACACTAGCAATAGTTGCAAGGCAGTAACATGGATTGTGCAAATATCCCCCCTTTTCAAAATCTCTTCAGCTCAGTTGTTTCCCTCTGCAAAGTTATTTGATGATCCAATCCAATAGAGTCATGTAGTTAATGGGATGACATCATGAGGCTGCATTTAACAGAATGGCATCATCAGTAAATGCAGTCGCAATCAATCACATTTCTTTGTGAGGAGAACGGTGGGTGAGGGCAACATAAAACAAGTAAAAATGACTTTTTGAAAAATGGGGGAAGCGTTTTTTTGGCCCTGCCATTTGTTGGTCAAACAGGGTTGTTTTTTAGCTTTTAATGTGATTGAACAGAAACCATAGGAAGAGGAAAGAAAGAAAGAAAGAAAGAAAGAAAGAAAGAAGAAAGAAAGAAAGAAAAGAGACCAGTGGTTCTTTTACGCTGACTTCAATCTTCAGATACACCAAATAAGGGCTCGTCCGCACTTCCTCTCCCCCCGCCGCTTCTCCCTGCGAAAAACTGCTCTTTAGTGCTCAATTGGAGCAAATGGCAACTTGGGTTTTCTCCAGATTGATTCTTGCTCTGATTTAACACTAAAGAGTGGATTTTCCCTGGGAAAGAAGCAGGGAAGGTGTTTTCTAGGCGCTGGACAAGCAGAAGCGCAAACAAGCCCTGAGTAATGCTTATCTGGTGTATTATTGGTTCCCTACAGG